GTGTGTGTGTGTGTGCGCGCATGCCATCAACTAGGTTGCGTAACCATTAACAGCTGACTCCCTGGGTGGTTGGCGAGTGCTCTGGTGGGGTTTGCTCCTTTTTTCTTGTAAAACATTTATATTCATTTTCTCTCCTCCTCCTTATTTATGTTTGTTACTCTCTTGTGACACATCTATTCTTCGGCACTTATATGACCTTATTGTGCTGCAAGTGCCGTAAAACCCTTACTAAAAAGTAACAGCTAACTCCTTACCCTGCTGTACTTTCCGATGTCTCATAAAGTTTAGTAACTGCATGATTGTTCAATAATACATCGTTTGGTTAATTCGGCAATAAATGGACGTCAATCATATTATGATACATGGCTTTTGCTTTTGCATAGTATACTATGATCAATTTGAGATTTGACACCCTGTTCTTTCCGTACGTTCCACAGAAAATTGTCTTCCAATCAAACCAGACCATGCAGTGGTTCTGCAGTTTATGACGTCATATCCTCTCGGGCCAGCAAGCCAAGAAGAGTAGTTACCCTTCATCCCACCTTCTTCGGAGCGGTGGTTCAGGGTCAGAAGCAAAGGTCACCGCTGGTTGTGACCTCGAGGCCAGGAGAGGCCAGGCACGACGGACAGCTCGTGCCCGTGACCTTGGCCTGATGCAGGCCGTCCTGAACCAGATTATGGAGACTTCATACGGCCCAATCAACGGCCCCGCGGCCTCCTTACCCATTCCGGAGCCTGACCTGTTAGACAATGGAAAGGTAAGTCGTTGAGTCTCCGCAATTCTTGTTTAGTTTCCCTAGCTTTTTGTGGGTGGGTGGTTGGGGGGCACCACTGGAAAATTCTATATTGTTGTCTTTTTCTCTTTTGTTGCTGTCTGTCTTACTTTTTCTAAGCAGTTAATGACCATTATTGTGTTGGTGCGCTTCTCTTTACTCCAAAAAACAGACAAACCCCCGCTTTGTCTATAGGGAATTGTAGAGCAGCAGAAAAAAGGGTCGGGATATGTTGTGGTTAGAGATGGCCATATCATACAACATAACCACAGACCATCCCCCCATTCTTCCCCCCTCTTTCACTCCGGTTGCGAGAATGTGTGTGCATACGTTCATACGTGTGTGTGTGTGTGTGTGTGTGTGTGTGTGTGTGTGTGTGTGTGTGTGTG